GTTAATATACCACAGCATTATACTAAAGTGTCACCAAACAATGATCAAACCAGCGATCATAATTCGATACAAAAAGCAACAGCTAGATACATCAAAACGAAGCAAAGTAATGCTCAAACATAAACAATAGAGGCGAAACCTTGACAGAATAATATTTTAACCAGAAATTATAAGTCAACACATACTCGTCCAACAACATTTGGTGACGACGGTTTTGTCTCCTTTTCACTGCATACATGAATATAACAACACATATCTGCCTTATTACATCTCTAACCAGGCGGCTACGCCATATTTAGGATACATCTATACAAAAGGTCTGACAACTTTGACAATTACCTTTATCTAAACAATTTATAATCGCGTTTCTTTTCATGTTATATCTGACTATTATAACTAAATTTAGAATACGCTCGCTATCCGCGTTTCGGAGTAATACAGTGCTGTAAGGTGTTATTATATATGTAAAGGAATACTGTGCAGGAAACACACTCCTACCCGTTGCACACATGGATGAATAAGAATTCTGTACCTTTCATTTTAAATGTTATCTTTAGTTCAAACAGCATATTTTTAACTCGGTAAGGGGTGTGTACATTGCTGCCAAGTAAGGAAGACTCTCCGAGAAAGGATAATGATAATATCTACACATGGTTAATTAAATACGTAATGATAATTTAACTCACCTACCGCTCTATAAATACACCTATGGGAACAATCCAAAACAGCAAGTCAAGCGGAAAATAAGCAGACCATAACGTTCAAATGCATGGACAAAGTACGAAAATACTAAAAGTCAACAAAGGGAAGAGAGGGGACATCACAACAACAGAATCAGTGGCAACAAGTATTGAATTTTATAAGGACACGTTCCATTTCCTTGTATGATATTTAGGCCATTTTTTATTATGACCAATAGTGTTGTGTTACCCAGTTCACACTTTCAGGACGTACCATTATTGCCATTTGATTCCGATTTAATGACCTATTCCATTTGGCACGTTGGTATCATCTTACTTTAAACCCCACCCCCTCCGAAACGGGAATAAGAGCAGTAAACGCCACAAACCTAGCAAAACCAAGAAAGAATCTATAAATACGCAAACAATAGTTTTTAAGAATACAAAATGAAGCCATATTCAACAAATATTGAATAGAAGTTATATTCTTTACCAATATTACTTGCGTTTCATAAGTGTGCAGCAAGTTAATGATAATACAGAATAACTGATGCATAATATTACGAAGAAAGCAACCGATGTAAATTCGTAATGAGAAAAAATAAGGTCGGATCGAAAGCATGTGCCATGCTACCACATTGTATCAAATATTTCATAGAAAACAGTCTGTAGTGCTATGCTATACACAGCAATGTCTATCAGTCCTTTATTACACGTGACGACAATTTCTCAACAAACAAAGTGAATCCCATCATATGAAATAAATTTCCCAATTTTGATACGGGAAATCCCGGTAAAGAATGTATCTAGTTATAAAAATGAAAGTAGTTGTATTACAAATTGTATTTGATGACACATGCCACATTTGACAGAGAGAGTATGATGACTCTGTTTCTCCAGAGACAAAAAAGACAACAGGGACTGCAACCCGGCTGTCATTCATTACAGCAATGCATGTGAATTCAAAGTCAAAACTCTGTTGGAGCTCAAAGGACAGCGGATATAGCCAGTGAGCATGGTGAGTTGTCATTTATACTGTAACAGGGCACCCGCTGTACAAATAATCTCTAAAGGATGAGTGAGGATTATGGAATTAGACAGGATTTCCCAATGATATTGGTACGATCGTTTTAAATGACACGTGTTAGAGGCGATTGTTACATAAATGGTAAGCCCTCCTCGTCTTACAGTCCCGAGAGTAAACGCTCAAGACATTTCCGAAGGTTCCACAAAGATTTGTAATTTAATCTACGCTGTTACGACAGAATTATCAGTATAGCTTAACTTGTTCTACACTTTATAAATATCATATATGTTACGTAACGTAGAACTGTGGATTTATTCCTGAATGATGATTAAATAATTTGCAGCGGATCATAATACAAACACACATATACTCATTGAATGATATGTGTAAAAGCTATAAAAAGCTATAAAAACTGAAAATGAAAACAAATTGATGAACATAATCGTGCATATATGTTATTCTTATCTTTATTTGTTTATATACTTGGAAGATGTATTTATCTAATTCAAAACATATTCCGCATTGCTACAGCACCACAGACTACCAAACTGCCATCAAGTACAGCCATTCCTACTCGGATGGTTCAATCTAGCATAGACAGTGCCATAGGACATCTTTTGTTCAATAAAAAAACAACGGTTGTGATTTTTAATCAATTTGTCGACAGAGGAAGTTGCCTCTTGGTGTGGTGGAAGACAGTATTAAATGGAGATATAAATGTTATATTAGCTGGAAGTATTGTTCTCGTCCCGACCAGCTGCAATATCCTGTCTAGTTTGAATCAGAGAAGCAAACGTAATGATATATCAATTCAAAAAGATACATTTGATATATAATTAAAGAGATCTAGAACAATAGATTGCCGTTATATCGAACATCATCAATGTGAATGGTTCTGAACTAATGCAGTGTTTCCTGACCCCCTGGACGTCCATTTTGACATTCAGCCATGTCCTAACTCATGTGCACGGTCCACTTACCAAAAACCAAGAACGGAATAAAACATTAGGTTCCAATATGACTATTAGACAAGCGTTCTATGGAAATATTATATAAGATATAGCTTCTGGAAGCTATTGTTGCTTTTCGGAACTCTTCATCGGCACACATATATATGGACTCCTCTTCAAAATTGATATGAAGATAAATGTTATGGTTAAAAAAAAAAGTTTTTTACAGAATATAACGTTAAACTGCAAATCCGAATTTGGATTAATTATCGCTCCATCATATCAGTTTCGTCCTTGAAATTTCTAAGAAATGAGCTGCTTATGTTAAAAGGGCTATATTTCATATAATATGACCACAAACAGCAGATCCTAATTTAGGTATTTTACCGTTCCACTGTGCCCGTGGTCCGTTATTCAGGTCACCTGTTCATGCAGAATCCTATATTGATCAGGGAAGTGAAGGGATTAAACTCAATAGTTACTAATGCAAGTTTGGTGTTTGTGCATGTTTCTATTGCCATATCTTCAGCAAAGTATGGACAAATTGCTAATTTTGTCAGTTTTTAATCATATCACGTCCTTACCGTGTAAAACACATTAAGATATTAATGATATTTTCTGCTTTCAATTTCCGGGAACGGTCTCTACAATCATTAAAAGGAAATAATTTTAACTAATGTCCTATTTCCTATACGCTTTCGACACATCCTTTGGAACACAAGGACTCTTACAGAAAGTAATTCCTAAAATTAAGAAAGAAATATTGTATATGGATTCATGTCAATGTATTTACACCTAAGCGACATTTTAGTGATCTAACGGTATCCCCCTCAGAGTGCAATACATGCTTGTGCAGACCGATAAGAGGACATTTGAACTAGCACTTTTTAAAGGTACAATGAAGGACTTTTTTTACATTAATGAAGTGATTTTCAGAACATTTCAGTCACCAGACGCTGTTTTATCTCCGGATGTAAAGTACAGAGAGGTATATAAAACAAAGTCATGGAGACATTTTGCACCAGAGACATCCGTTAAATGTCAAACCAATTCAGTTACTCGCATGTGGCACACAAACAGCGACCGAAACCATTTCAATTATTGCCGTGTGAGTGGACAAAATAGAACCCCTTTATCTTCTGTCCATAATGAGCAATACGATTTTCTGATAGCAATATAATATACTATTTTAAAATAAACTATGAACCTAAAACAATTATGTTATTCAACGTTATTTAGTCAGTGGTCAGGTTATGCATATACACAATTCTGTCTCGATTTGACAGGCCTGAAAAGCTAATGATTTTTTTTTCAGCTACAACAAATATCATCCTACATTCTTCCTACATGTAACATGCACACTCAGATTTGGTTCAATTCAAATACCGCAAAATGGGCGTGTCCTGCTGAATCACAGTATGGCTTTAGGATACGTCGTTAACTTGAAAAACGCTGCATGCAGTATCGCTAGTCTAACGTGACAGGAAGAGAAAACAGCCAGCTAACTAAAGATCGCGCGCCGGCGTAGAAATCTGTGTGTTGGACAGCTCATGGGGCATCGGTTCATTACAATGTTAACACGCCAGAAGAATATAATCTCGTCTTCAATACAAAAAATAAAGGAAAAGGGACCGGGACGCCGTCCCGTAGGACCTGCATTGCTTCCGAATCTAATAGGTTAATCAGCGTGAGGAACTGTGTCACTGGGAAGAAGAGAAAGCCCCCATGAGTACATGGATGTGATGACGTCGCTAGGCCATTCAGCTTGATATCAAAATGTCGAGAAGATTAAACTTGCTATCAATTCTTTTAAAAAAAGTGCAGTGATACTGTCGACCACGTAGCTGCTTCACAGTTACTCTATAGCGTTATTTTTTGCGATTTTAAAACTTTATTCAACTCTGTTCATGTTTAAGTATTTATAAAAATTGTGAAAGAAGATAATTAATTCGCTGTATTTGCAGGTAGCCTATTTAGCCTCGAAAAATGAAAATATATGAAAATGTATACACGAAGACCTACAGCATTTTCAGCTTGCCACGTATCAGTAGAAAGTTATAATATTATACAAAGAAATGGGAATAAGCTAATTACCAAACTTCTTTACTTATATGAATATTCCTATTTTCGAAATAAGATTTATCGTAATGGCTGTAATCTACCAAACGATAATTTAATTAAAGTAACATATGTATGAATTTATATCAATTATTTTTCATTTAACTTAAAACAGTAAATTAATTCTATGAAACTGAGCGCTTAGAGCATGAGAGGAACAGAACAAAAAATAAATATTATGTTTTAAAACGTTTTTAGATATAAGGCGTTAGCTTATACATTTACCTTGATCTGGTTATCAACGGTGTGACGTCATTATCTACTATGACCATATGCCTGTTCACGAGGTCCTAATAGAACATGTATCGTTCCACCTGGACTGGCCACCGTCTCTAGACTATTGAATAATAAAGAAAACAACTTTAACTCTACACATTTTGATCACTTGGATACGTTCTAAACTAGGGAGAGATAAGCTATAGTAGTAAAATGCAGCCGATAAATTCTTCATTAAAACTTAGGGCCTAGTAGCCAGTCTACTTTCCACCAGATGACTTTGGAAACAAACGTTTACCCATCCGGATCCCCTCCTGCCTTTTGTGGTGGTAGTGGAGGTGGAAGGGTTAACATGCTCATTCTTTTTGTGGTTTAGTACTGTATGTCCTCAGTATCTGTTAATGTTTTGTCTGTCGACTAATGTGGTAATAATTTTGTACAATTTCTCTTTATTTCCTTTTACTACGACTTTTAAATTATAACTGAAAGTTTGTCGTATTTTGTAACACGCACGCACTCGGTCAAATTACTGTTGATCTTTTATATTAAATTTAATGTATTTTTTCCTCATTATTTTATTTTTATTTTTAATGTGAGTTTTAGCAGTGGTGTTAAGTCCTTGCAAACGCTAAGACCATATCGAGACGGAAAACATCATTAAAAAGGAAGAGAATGAAGGATAGGAAATGACAGACGCTATTTCCATGATGGCGTTAAGCTGTCAGTTTCGTGAAGCCTACGTAAGAATGTAACATTGACACAACGTTAATTTGTAAATCAGCAAAGCGTTGTTCAAACACGTAGGTAGAATTGTGACCCGACGTTAGTTTGTTTTTTGCTTAATGTTGAATGAAAGTTGACGTAACGTTCGTAAAACGTTTGGCAAACGTTGCACTTTCATTACATGTAGCTTATACCGTTTACCAATCGTTCATATTATTTAATATTTTCTAATTAACGTTCTACTTGAAACAATCAATAGATAGCAAGTACGTATACAGAATTTAATAGCTTAATTAGTATTTACAGTAACAGTGAAAATCGTGGTTCTTCCGGCGATCGAATCAGCAACCCTCAGCGTCCCGGTTCACTGATCTATGGGTTAAGCTGAAGGGAGGTACACTGTACCTTCCAGCGCAAAGCTAAAAGGCGGACACAATCCTATTTGTATTTTACATTTAAAACCAGTCATTCTACTACCCACTTTTAAAATACATTCCACATCGAACAACAATCTAACCTAGGTTTTAACTCCAGATTACCACAGTGAGGGTCAACGACACAATTTGCAACAGGGCGAAAGCTGAGGAAAACCAAGTTCCTATATACACAATTTAAATCTGCAATAAGTACATCTAGGTCCTGTTATTATATTTGTTAAAGCTATACAAACTGAGACTATGTCCTCATTCAGGTTTGAAACAAATTGTTTCTAAGTGATCAATAAATAACATAAAAAAAAGAATGATGTATAAAGTTTGATATTCCTTGTCATTGATACAACATAAACTCATCCCTTTCCACCTGCCCCTGATAATATGACAAATCCTTTTAACTTTTCCGCGGATATTCGACGATTTCGTTAGAGGGCACAGAAACAACATGTACGTACGCCCTACCACGCATGTAAAGGTCAATCCTATTTTACCATAATTTCGTGAATTTTTATTTTCGCATTTTTCACGAGAATACGATCGTTAATTCAAATAATATGTGAATACATGGTTAACACTTAGTCAACAAACGAATGCATAACAGCTGTTGCTAATTGTGCGAATGAATATCCTTGTGAAATCGATAACAAAAACATCGCAAAAAATATATACTCAAAAATGAGAGACTTACAGTATACATGTATTTATCTAACATTATATGCATTTATACAAGTGTAAGAACAACTGAGTATGATTTTAAATACGTCACAAAATTGTTTCTGGTATATTCTAACAATAGGAAATGTTTCAATAGTGTATTTATGAAAGTATTTAGCAGTAAAGTTGCAAAAAATGCAAATGTAAAGAAAGATCATACTTACTATATCTAAATTGCTACCGAATTTTACAAGTACTTAGGTTGAATTACTTTCGAGGACAACTTGCGTCATCGTGGTTCTCTTATATTTTATATGGTGAGTAACCTTTACTGGTGTCAATAAACTTCCTTTGATGATCCATGACGACATGCGTTACCATAACATTGTTGAGCTGTAATGATTGATTTACGATCTCGGTTCTTGAACTTTACACAGACGTATGTACTGTGATAAAATATCTGGTAATACCTAATATAAAACCAGCAACATCCGAAAATAAAAGGCAGAAACATCCATAAATAGTTTCATGACTCAATTGTGAATGACATAACTTCCGTGATGTAGCATAAACGTATAATAACGCAACACAATTCACCTCAATTCAACTGTCTATAACACACATAAAAAGATTTATCGTATTGTTATTGTTGTCTGATAATACATGTAATACATTATATCAATAAACATATTACAGACAAATTTGATATTTCAGCATCACCATTAGTAATCCCATCTCTCGTAAAACCCACATAATAATGTGTGCATCTGCACATGCACATATATACAATATATCCTGTTATATCCTTTTATAGACTGATTTGATCATGTATGTTCCGCTAATGGATCGAAGCGTTATTTCACTGAGTGGGGTTATTTATATGGCCTTTCGGTGTTATCCAACCACTTGATGGGTAGCTGGCCATTACCAGTCGTCAGATAAACTGTAATACTGGAGGATTAAGTATTTCTCAGACAACATACGTATATATAAATATATATATACATTTCGATATGTGAAAAGTATTTTTTCTGCAATAAGTCTCAGCATACAACGCAGCTATATGCAATGTTCAGAAAACTTTATGATAATGGAATTCTTTGAAATAGTTTTAGTGACGCTTTAGTATAGGTTTGTCTGGCGATACCTTTGATTCTGGGCAGACATGCCATTTTGTTTCCCAAAACAGAACAACATTGGATAACGCACGGTCCAATGAATAGTGTCTCTGCCAAGTGCATGTAGTGTACAGATTCTGTATTACATGTATTGTACAGATTATTTATCACATGTATTGTACAGATTATTTATTACATGTATTGTACAGATTCTTTATTACATGTAGTGTACAGATTCTTTATTACATGTATTGTACAGATTATTTATTACATGTATTGTACAGATTGTTTATTACATGTATTGTACAGATTCTTTATTACATGTAGTGTACAGATTCTTTATTACATGTAGTGTACAGATTATTTATTACATGTATTGTACAGATTCTTTATTACATGTAGTGTACAGATTCTTTATTACATGTATTGTACATATTCTTTATTACATGTAGTGTACAGATTATTTATTACCTGTATTGTACAGATTCTTTATTACATGTATTGTACAGATTCTTTATTACATGTATTGTACAGATTCTTTATTACATGTAGTGTACAGATTCTTTATTACATGTATTGTACAGTTTCTTTATTACATGTATTGTACAGATTGTTTATTACATGTAGTGTACAGATTCTTTATTACATGTATTGTACAGATTATTTATTACATGTAGTGTACAGATTCTTTATCACATGTAGTGTACAGATTCTTTTTTACATATATTGTACAGATTCTTTATTACATGTAGTGTACATATTCTTTATTACATGTATTGTACATATTCTTTATTACATGTGTTGTACAGATTCTTTATCACATGTATTGTACAGATTGTTTATTACATGTATTGTACATATTCTTTATTACATGTATTGTACAGATTCTTTATTACATGTATTGTACAGATTCTTTATTACATGTATTGTACAGATT